TCAGTCATTCTGGATTAAGGGCCTGCCCTACTCCACTATGACCTCATGGTAACTTAACTAACTACATCTGCAATGACCCTATTTCCAAAAACGTTCACATTCTGAGTTACTAGGGATTAGGACTTCAACATCTGTTTTGAGGGAACACAATTCAACCCATAACAGGAGGTATCAGGAGGTGGAGAAGATGATAAGAAAGTAGTTGCCTTCACTTTAGAGGGATGGGGCTGGAATTCTACCTTCCACTGACAAACCTTCTGAGAGGACTCAAGACAGGGGCAGCTTCATGGGTGTGCAACCCAGGCAGCCCAACAGGGCCCTACAATCTCGAAAGTCTTAATAATTTTTGAACAATAGGTACTGCATTTTCGTTTTGCAATGGGCCCTACAAATTATGTAGGACACCACTTTTGAGAGCTTGCTACATGACGTGCTTCTTGCGCTTGGGGAATATGGCAGGCTGTGACCCGACTCACACATGTAAAGCTGGCCCATGACACCTGAATTGAAGTGACTGCACTGCCTGAGTCAGCTTGCCTCCCAGAGGTAGTCAAGTCATAAAGAGTGGCCCACTTCTAAGATATGCATCACCCTCTGAGTTAGCACTGCAGTGAGAGGTGCTTAACCACAGGAAGCTCTAAAGAGCCACAAATAATCCCAAGAGAGGGAGCTTTAAATCTCTGCCAGGCCAGAGAACAGGAAGGAGTCGTAGAGAATTCAAGTAAGACCCCTCCTACACCTTTACCACCCTGGAAGAATCAAAAACTGATTAGCAGCTGGGAGAATTTGGGAGTAGGCAAGGGAGGGGAGGAGAAAAGAAACTTGAGACAGTGACATAGAGAAGTCAACGATGCCCTAGCCCGCTGCAGGCTTCCAATCTAAAGCAGGACCAATTTAGAGAAGGGGAGAAGATTTAGTATTACATTTCATTTGGAGTTTCAATTAATAATATTAAACACACCATTCTAATTTCTGAATTGAATCCCCAGGGGATCTAGGCCAGTAAACAGAAAAATCACACACCTATAGTTTTCATCTAGGAGTGGGAAAAGATGCATTGTCTCTTTCAATACATTTTAAAGAGTTAACAGTTTTTATGAGCTGAATTGTGTCCCTCCAAAATTCATATGCTGAAGTCCTAATCCCAGTGCCTCAGAATGTGACTATATTTGCAGATAGTGTCTTAAAAGATGTAATTAAGGGAAAACGAGATCATTAGGGTGGGCCCTGATCTAATCTGTTGTCCTTATAAGAATGATTAGGACTCAGATGGGCACAGAGGGAAGATATGTGAAGATACAGGGAGAAGATGGCCATCTACAAGCCAAGGAGAGAGGTCCACAGAAGAAACCAGTCTTGCTGATACCTTGATCTTGGACTTCTAGCCTCCAGTACTCTGAGGAAACAAATGTTTATTGTTTAGGCCACCTAGTCTATGGTAATTTGTTATGGTAGCCCCAGCTACGATAGGAGACAATAAAAACTGAGTCGTTACAGTGATCAGAGTAGTTTTGGAAGGCATATTAATTAACAGGGTCCACAAAATGAAACAAAAGATCCATCACTTCTTTTAAGATAGGTGAACTTAAAATAATTGAGTAAATATGGCCTTATTAGTGGTTGTTTGTAGAGCTAACTTGACCAACAGACTACAAAGGAAGATATGTAATGCTAGATAGCTCATAATTTTACATGTTTAAACAAATATGAAGATGAGGGGTAAAATACAGAATTTTCAAAGCACCATAACTTAATTACATCCATACAGGTCACACAAAAAGCTCTACTTGTTATGCTTTGCAATACTATAAGTTGGTATACATTCATAGGAATATAAATGTAATTGCACAATGTAACAAAAGTACAAATTTATTTAGTGTAATATGTGTGAATCATATCCACATGGTTTCTAACAGAGATAGTTGCTAATGTTAATGTTAACATGAGTTAATGTTAACTTCCTCCCTATTTCCTCTTTTATAATGGACGGAAGGACAGCAAGATTGATTATTTTACTCTGCTTCTGGTCACCTTAGCTTAAAGTGATTAGACTTTGATTCAGTCAATTGTCATTAGAGCCAAGCTGGCATTGCAGCAAATGAAAATATATGCTAAATCTATGGTTTGTGTAACTCAATTCTTGTTTTAGTAAGAATAAGTATTGGTAGCCAATGATAAAGCAATTTGGGTGGTAACTAGAAAGGGAGGAATAATTTCCAATTTTTGTAAGAGAATATATAATCAGACTTCACTGATGAAGGAATCGATCTCATAAAGTCATCAACGTGTGTTATAGTTTAAGTGCTTCATGTGTGTTCATATTTTAACTATTTTATCTTACCTAATGATCAGGCATAAAGGTTTTAACTACAGCAGGAGAACAGACTGGGAAGGTGCTTTACTAGGAACTACAAGTACCAACTGAAAAAGTCTACGTGGGGTATTGACACAGGGAACAGGCAATACACATAGGGAGCAGCTGCTTCCTAGGAAATCTAAAAAGGGATGTGAGTCATAAGGAACTCAGAAGTGGTGAATCCAGAGGGTGACGATATATGGAGATGGTACTATGCTAAACATGTCAGGAAAGTCTGTCATCAGGTGTTGGAGCCCCACCTCAGGATTGAGTGTGTGCATGGCCAAGGGATAGGCACAGACAGACAAGAACAAAGCCTGCTGGGATCCTGTTCAAAAATTCTTTAGGTACTGGGCATATTATCAAGGCAGGAATCCACATACAAGGCCACAACCTGGGATTAGCCCCAAGACTGGGATAATAACACTAAATATCAGTTACTGAATGCTATCTGTGTACTTGGATCTCTACAAAGTATTTTGCATATAATATTTTAGTCTACGCCAAAGTGAATTCCTTGGACCTTCTACAGTTGGAGATATGAAAAAGCACAAAGATAACAATTATGGGTAAAAAGATGATAGATATAAAGGATAAATAATTGAGATGAAACAATAATTTCCTGATAAAATCAAGAAAGACATGTATATACTGACATATTATTATTATTATTATTATATAGAATAGAAAACATCCTAGAAACACTCATAAAAATGAGAATCTCAGGTATAAAAAAACAAATTAATCCTGATTTTACATTAATGCCAGAAAATAAAGGATTATCTACAAATTTTTTTCAAGAGAAAGTAAATGGGGGCCAAGCCTTTTAACATCAGTTAAATTTTTTTTTCAAGTGCAAAGGCCAAAGGAAGATAATTTCAGATATTCAAATATAGGCTCAGAAAGTATTCTACAAATATATCTTTTTTGAATCTAAGTTGCTTAAGATATTTACTAATTGACCAAAAATGAATCAAAATTAGAAACTGAGAAACAGAGAGTGTGATAGACTGCTCTCTAGTAACTTTCAACAGGTAAAATTTCCAAACTATCATAAGACACCTGAGGAGAATCATTTCTTAGGCCGTGATTATACTCATTATATAAAATTAATGATGAATGTGGGTGCTTTGGTGTCTCTGTTTACACTGGCATCTGAATACAACTAAAAAGAAAGCAATTTTACTGTGGAAAATTATCCTTTACTTTGAAATAACCCTATAATGGGCAAAAGAAATTTCTCTAGAAACTTCCTTCCCTCACATTAAGGTTTACTACAAGATTCAGTTATTTAATTAAATAGGTTTGCAATTATATTAAAAAAATACTAACCATGTTTGAGAAAGATGCAAATGCTTATCTTTGGGTGTTTCTTTTATTATTCTTTTGGTTACTCATATTTCCCTTAAAAGTATGAACATTAAAAAGTATTAACAGATAGGAAAAATTTTTTCTGAATTCCATACATGAAATGTATATTTTGTAGAGTTCAATTAAATGAACTCCATATACTTCTCAAGTTTTTATCTTGTTGAGTAGAACGTATAAACTTTGTGAAGAATTTCCTTTTAAGATGTTGGCTTAAAGAGGGTACTTGTGTTCATCATTGACTTTGCAGCTTCCTCTTACCACTTCTTGTGATATTCTTAGATGCCCCGAGTAGCAGTGCTGTAGAGGAACCCTTTCAAGACTAACTTGTTCAGCTCACAGACTAGGACACCAGAGTTTATGAGTGATTTGTAGAGCTGACTTCCTCAGATTTCATCAGACTGCTTTAGGAAACAAAAAGATCCTGAGATGACCTTCCTCCTTATACTGCCTTTTGACATTACAAGGAAAAAGTAAATACCCACAAAATCCCGCACCACGCTTATATGGCTAACTAAAAAAAATGACTTTTATAATTATGTACTTAAAAAGCCTCATGAAACTTTAATAATCAATGTTATAAATAAATTATTCACACTGGGAACAAAATAATAGAGATTATTATAACATCAATTTGAGTTCGCTAATGTGTCTACAATCTACCTTGGTATTTCTTGGATATTTTGAGAATAATTGATGTAGTCAAACTCAGCCAAAACCATATGAGAAAGACAAGTATAGAGCCCACCCTTAATAAGATATCTAGAGAGGATAATTCTGCGACCTGCAGAAACCCACCAATAATATTTAATAAAATGTATGTGATGTACTTATGTTATTGAAAGGAAGATTTAAACTTCTTTATGAAAAACATCATTGTCTCTAAAGCCGGGGGTCGTAAGGTGGGAGGAAGAAGGATGGCCCTTTGTTAAGCTCCGTGCAGTTTACAAACTTTATTTTACTGAACCTGTTGTGAGCATTGTAAGGCAAGTATTGTGCCGAAATGCAGTGCCAGCAAATAATAAGCATTTAATAATTTAGTTTGTTGAATTGAGTCTTCACCAAAATCTTATAAAACAGGTGACAGTGTCCCCATTTTGCAGTGGAAGAAAGGGACTCAGAGAGGCGTACTAGCTTTCTCAAGATCACACAGCAGAGATCATTTGAAAACACAAGTTTATCTGACATGAAAGCTTCCACAGATAAAATCTGCTATGCTGTGACTTTTTCGTTTTTAGGTAAATAATATTTTATTGGCTGAATTTTATATTTCCAGGTATTTTCTTATACTGCCGACAAAGAAATTCGAACAGATGACTTGTGCTTGGATGTTTCTAGACTCAATGGACCGGTAATCATGTTAAAATGCCATCATATGAGAGGAAATCAGTTATGGGAATATGATGCTGAGGTATAGTATTTTTTTAATTTACTTATTTCATGCTTAAACTCAGTTATATATTTCAATACATTTAAATTCTAAGCTTTTTTTTTTTCTGCATTGGAAGAACTGTATTTTCAAGCATGCAAGCTCATATCTGATAACATTAGGACGGTATATCATACAAATAGGTTTTTGGCAAACTAGTCCATTAGTAGAAAAGATGAGTGAGGAAAATAAAGTCACTTTTATGGGCTTAAAATTTGTCACCGTGTATATACTCAACATAAATTAGGCAAGGGCTAGGCTTTGCTTATCTGAGAGGTATATATGAAGTTGTGCATATGGGGCAATATCAACAGTATTTTCATATTTTAAATTTTACACTGTTGTAATCTGTAATATATACGCTTTCAACTTAAAGGAAAAGAAAATTTGGCAAGATTAGTATGAATGCTCTTTGTAATAGTAAATACTTCGCAAAATAAACTATTTAGGTATATAATCAGCTAAGCGGCATCTTCTCAATGTAGCACATCTTTCTGATAGAACAGAGGAGGAGAAAACAATAAAATTACTGTTGGGAATTTATAGCCAGGCAGTGTGTAAAAACCAGATCAACCATCAGATGGAGCTAATAAAAAAGAAATATTTTCCTCTGCGTAAGGAAGCTGCTTTGAAACAGCTTCATTTCATTCAGTTCTCTTAGCTTAGCAAAATGAATTGGTTGTCTGTGTTATATTTTCCACATTTTTAAATGGTTGGTGACTTATTTAAGATAAGAAATAAACTTTATTCTTACAAGACAAATAATACGATAGAGGTAAATGAGTTTCACAAATGCAGTGTTCTATGGGAGCCTAAAATACTCTGCAGGAGTAACATTTTAAAAACCAGTCTACAGTTGTTGGTATTATTGATATCTTAACAAGGTCTTCTTTATAAAAACTTTTTGAGTGGCATTTTAATTTGCATGATGTTGTAGTTTCTTAAGTGGAATATCGACAAACCTTACTGAATTCTTAGATGATTTGAAACTGGGTCCATAGGGTTAAAATTTGGCCCTAAAATTTATACAACATTACCGAGCTCTTTGGACGCGAAATAGTCTTCTTCTGAGACGTAACAAAGGACGAACACCCTGAATCCTCCCTGTGTTCTGATCAGACTCTGTTGCCTTCTCAATACCCTTTGTCTGACCTCCATTTTTTTGTCTTCAACTATTATCGTCACTACCCTTTACATTAAGCCCGCAGAAGTCGTTTCTTCTAATAATACATGTGGGTAAATGTGGACCCTTAGTCAGCTCCCTACCTCTTCTATGAGGAAGAGTACAGATAAAAATGTACAGATAAAGGAGAAATCCTGCAAGTACTATTTTTTTAATAAAACATTTTGTTTTTGTTGTTGCTCTTTAGTTTTCACCAGGAACCCATGAATTTATTGGGCTTGTGGTAAAAATAAAGAAATCTCGCATATTTATAAAGAAAGGAGAATGAGTGTACATATTTTTTATAAGATGAATCAGTATCGCATTTCAGAATTCTCCTTTTAATCTTCAAACTTTTCTATAATTTTGGAGTGGACAATAGCTTTTATAGTCATAACTCACATTCCTTCATTTCTGAAATAACTGTTGTTGGTAATTAGGCTTATATTTTTGTTTATATTTTTATCAGCCAGTAGCAAGATTATTGAATACTAAAGGATTTTGAAAGAAAAGTGGAAAAAAAAAATAGCTTCACCTAAGATACAGAAATGGTTTTTGTAAATTTGCTGTTTTGGATGACTAGTAGTTGTCTATTACAGTATTTTTTAGAGCACTGTAGTATTTTGTATCACGTAAACTTTGTTTCTAGAACACACCCAAAAAAGCTTATAATATGGCATAAATATTGATAAACGTTTATTTTTAAATAAACAATTCAATCATCTTAATAATTGTATGATATAGTTTAATTTACTCTCCTATATGTTGATGTTTTCAAAATTAAATTGTGATGTTCAACTTCTCTAAATTTAAAATTTTAAATCATAATGTGGATATTTTTGCCAAATTAAAAATGTATAAATCAAAATGTGGAGAAGTCACATGAAAATATAATAATTGTAAGATTAATGCATTGCCTTTCTGGAAATTTCAGCTTTGAAATAAGACTGATTTTATTTATGAAGAAGTCAGAAAAAAGGAGATAATTTTTTTGATGAAATTCAAATATAATATTTATTTTTTGTGGTTACCTTTTCTTCCAGTTTTAGGTTTATGGTCACTTTATTCTACAGAATAGTGCTAACCATTGCTACCCAAAGTGTGATTCTAGGACCAGTAACATCACGTGGGAACTTGTTCGGAATTAGGAATCTGAGACACCACCCTAGACACACTGAGTCAGAGTCTGTATTTTAACAAAATCCCCAGGTCATTTACGTACACATTGAAGTTTGAGAAGGACAGATCTAGGCAGTGGTCATACACCTACTTATCTTCCTTAGTCTTTGTATACACCGTTAAAAAATATTGCAAAGTTAGGGAAAGGCATAAATACACTCTGGAAAATGATAACGCCCCCAAGAGGGATCAGGGAGGGAAAGGAGCAGAAGGGTGAGAGGTGCTGAGATGGGAAAGAGGAATGATTGACAGGGAGCTCTAGTCTGCTCATATTCCAACTAGTGGAAAATAGACAAGTGCGGCTTGCTACTTCTTTAATTCAATTCTTTATCTATTGCTATCAAGGGCAAATTTATTCTTCTTTGGGAAACCTCTGAGGTGGTGTGCTTTCAAAGCAGAATGAAACTTGGTGGAGTTCATAGAGTTACAGAGCTGAAATTTTACCGTAAAGGTCTCTCCCTTCAGCCTTTATCAGGAGGAAACTAAAGTACAAATATCACACTGCCACAGGGAGAGGCAGGATTTGGGTCCTAAGGCAGCAATGAAAGAAAGCTAGTTATCAGTACAGTTGTGAATCTCGCAGTGTGAACAGCTGAAATATTCCCATGGTCCTTTCAATCTTAGAAAAGCAAGTCATAAATAGGAGCAGAATTGTTAGAATATCCAGAGAAAAGTTGAAACAGTATCGTAAAGTATCAGAACATGGACTCTATCCTGCTGCTTTGGTTTATTCACTTCTTAGGTGAGTGGGGAAAAAGAGAAGGGAATAAAGTTTATTGTGTGTCTATAATTTTATTTGTTTTCTCATGCAATTCTTATAATAGTCCTATAAGATGATATTATTATTATTTGTATTCTTCACATTAGTGAACAGAAGCTTCAAGTATTTCAGTGCCTTGTCTGGGTTTGCACACCCCAGGTTTCTGACAATAAATCCAGCAATCTTTCCACTATACTACATTGCCACTTTGAAGTCATTGAAAAGCTAGAAACAATTAGATGATCTAAATTGCTAAATTGCTAATTAGATCAATGATGATCTAATAAGCTAAATGTACAGTATTACAAATGAAAGAAATTATTAAATATTATTGATTATTTGCAGTAACAAATTTTATTCATAGAGAATTTCTCCTTTCCTTAATAATTGGAAAGATGTTCTGCAATAAATATTATCTATTTAGACCAACAGGCAGTCATAAAACTACTTTGTCAGTATGGTCTAATTGCTTATAAACTTTAGCTATATATATTCATAATATAATTAATTAATATCTAATTGCTTCTCCTTTTATTTGAATGAAATTAAGCACATGTTGATAATAGATACATATCTTTGGCCAACTTTGATTTGAAATATAGTTTCCTCTTTTCTTGTAAATATTTCTTAAATAACAGCCATGAATTTAATTCACTATCACTTTATACCTGGCCAAACGTGTTCAATTTGGGGGGCAACTGAGCATCATTAGCAAAACTGCAAGATCCCCAGCTGGTCTAGAATCTCTCAAATGAATTACCTGAACGCTTTGGTGCTGGAAAAGCCCATTGCCACAGTGTTAAAACAAAAGGGAAAAAACCCACAAAATTTCATCTCACTGAAACGTTTTAAAAATTATTTTTATAAAGATCTCTCATCCATTCATTCTATTTTATTCAGGTTTTCTTATATTCTGTTTGAACATTGCAATTGTGTTCCAGTCCATTTGAAATTTACATTTTCCTGCAATAAGTGCACATAATCACGTTTCTTCTTGAACATCTAGGCAACTACATACAGTGTGAGAATCTAATTTTAGAACAGAACACTTATGCTCAACAAACACTATGCAACAAAGAAAAAAAAGGGAGCAAAAGATGATGCTAAAAATAAGTCTTGTTTTTCATGTGACTGAGCAAGTTGACTAAGAAAATACTTATGAATTCGATATCCGTCTGCATCAAATGTTTCCCAGACCCACAATATGAGGAATTTTTTTCAGTAGGCAAAATATGTTGGATTGATATTTACTGAAATCACAGAAGCTTATATTTAAACTTTGCTTAATACCTCCTCTTTTATTTACCTTTATCAGAAAGCAGGTAAATGGGAATATAATTTCAAGGTAAGTGATCTATAACTGGCAACCCAGCCGTTTCCCTGTGTAGCATTCCTAAGAAAAGCAGTGGCTCCGTTTACCTTTTGAAGGCTGTGTTTATAAGACTAGTAACACCTTTCCATATTCCCATCGACCTGTAGCTGTGTTTCTTATGTAGAATCAATTAGTGACTAGGAATTTCAATAGTTTGGTACTGCATTTTTAGTTCTTGTTTGTTAAATGTTTATACTTTTTTTTAGAAGATCATATTCTATTCTAATGAATGCAGAGATCACTTTGTCAGGAGATCATACTTAATATTTTGAATAACAACTTTATTATATTAATTTTTAAATAATTATTTATTATTCTGTACTTTATCAATAGGGGAAATCCTATTGCCTTTGTTATTAAATTAAATATCTATAACAGTCTAAATTTATTCTTACTTTATTTAACATTATGTATAATAACAATCGGGTTTCTTTTTAAACTTTTAGTATGGCATTTGTTAAGCTGAGACCTGTATGATTGGTTCTTCAATCAATCATGTAGTCACTTTG